CTATTAAATCAGTCGTCGACGATTTTGATAGTCGACGTAATCGTGACTAGTTGACAAATCGTGGCAGCCCTAGCTCGCACAGACACACACAATGTCTGCAGTGATTTACAGCAGCAAGATCCCACAACAAAACAGCTCCAGTAACAAATTGCAGCATAAAAAGGAGAAGCTGGCGTATAGCTGGGTTGCAAAGCGGTTTGCATATGTGACGGCACCTGCGGACACCAGGTACGGGACTTTCTAGTTGACCATCGGCTGGCATCCGTATGAGCTGAAACAATGCTGTCTGATCCCAAACTTAATGAAAACTTATTGCTTCCCTATTATTTTTTTTTGCTGGGAGTTTGCAACCCTATTAGTTAGGTTGCTTAATATTTCTGCTAAGTACTCTTTAAAATACCAGAATATGGAGGATTGAGTAGGTTTAAGTTTATTAGATTGATCAGTTTTGCTGAACTATGAAATATTTTGGGTGCAGTGTATTTTTTGCATACAGGTATAACAGGATAGCTTTAGTGTTTGTTTGTTTTTTGCTTGAACTTGAGTATAAACTTATACAAAATGCAGCAAGATATTAAAAAAACTGTTTTATTGATTGAAAAACACTATATCGGATTTATATCGTATCGGCCGATATCCAAATTTATGACATCGGTATCAGACATAAAAAAGTGGTATCGTGCCATCTCTAGTAATTAATAATGCCAACAGAGTCGTATCAAGTGCATCAGTGAGCTGCTCAAGCAAGTCTGCATGGAAAATATCAAAGCCTTAGAACTGGGACACTTAAATGGGACGCAGCAATTACTAAGGAGGTGCCACCAACGGCTACACCTCCTTAGGAAACTCCACTATTTTGGAGTCAGCACACCCATCATGATGACTTTTTACTATGCCTTCCTGGAAAGCATCATGACCTTCTCCATCACCTGCTGGTTCCACTCCCTCAGCCTTCAGAACAAGAACAGACTGCAGCACACTGCATCAGTGTGCTCTAAAATCATTGGGCTGGCTGTCAGAACTCTGGCACAGGTTTTCAGCCAACAGGCCCTTAGAGAGGCAGCTAAAATCATCAACGACCCCTCTCACATTCTTCACCCCGCATTTCAATGCCTCCCCTCTGGGCGATGCCTCCGCTGCATTTCCTGCAGGACTGAGAGGAGGAGCGCCACCTTTGTCCCCAAAGCCACTCTGCTTTTTAACACCAGCCGATAACACCATTTCCCACACCAGAAACATAAACTACACTCTTTTTATACTACCGACACTTTATTCACTTTTAGTCACTCACAGTTATTTATTCACCTTTCAGTCACTTTAATTTTAAAACTGTATATACTGTATATTCTGTGTATTTATTATCTCACTCTTATTGCCTGTTCTTACTGTCCTTATCTTCAACGTTATGCTGCTCTGTTGTATGTTAATTGCCCCTTGGGGATAAATAAAGTCTAAAAAAAAAGGTTTACCGTTTGAAAGTTGGGGGTGTTGGATAAAGTCAGATGGCATTAATCACTACAAAGTCGCTACTACACTGCTTCCTCACTGGCTTCATCTTGTGCTTTGGGTTTGCTAAAAACAACCGATAAAATCTGTGAGCAATGTGAAAGAAGTAGCTAGTGGGCAGAAAAGCCCAGATGACTCTCCCAGTGCATTCTGATGTCTTTCAGCTCACTGTTTTGGATCACTCCCTGTTAGCAGTAGCAGGAGGAAGGTGGCTGTTTTCAGCGAAAAGAGAGTCTGAGACAAAATCATTCTATCAATCTGTTCAGCAATCAACAGCAGGCAAGGCAACTACAGTAAGTGACGACCACAAGAAGGATTTAAAAAAACAAAACATAACCAGAAGGAGTCTGGACAATGAAGATCATTTTAATTGAATCTGGTTAAACTGGCTGCTGGTTGGTCAAAGCAAACTGATCAAGGCGTTCTGTGTAAGCTGAAGTTACAGTTACAGTTTTAGAAATGTTTCCCATGCTTCGAACTCTTGTCAGACAACACTGTAATTGTACTGACAAGAGCACAAAAGCCGGGCAGAGACAAACACGTGTGTCTAGACATTATCTCTCCTCTAGCTTAAATCCCTGCCAACCATATGCATCTTTCATCCAAACAACAAAAGGTGTGCAGCAGGCACCTGCTTGAATGTCAGCCCACAAAAACCAGACGTCTCCTGCAGGGAAAACAGGAGAGAAATCCGCTTAATAATCTACATTTCCAGAGTGGGAATTGCTGGAGGGCACAAACAGCCCTGAGCCTACCAGGAGGGAAAATAGAATTACTCTGAACGATACAAAGCTCCAAAAATATGAACGACTCCACTGTCTGCCCAACTTGTGTGTTGGAAAAAGAAACTGCTCGGTTCTTTCCACGTCACCCATTTCCCCTGTAGAAAACAGAGCTCACTGTGGTTTCTGAGGGACGGCATAAACTCCAACAGCAAACTCTTAAACACATGGACTAAGAAAAGGGCCTGTATTTAAATCCCCCCAATTATATTTAATTGAGGAAAAACACAGCCAATTCCAGCCGCACCGGCTGAGCCTGTGAGCTGAGCCTGTGAGCTGAGCCTGTGAGCTGAGCTTGCATTGTGACGGGCCCGTTTTCACTGGGGACGGAGCAGTGGCAATGGAAACGTAAAGCTGGAGACTGAGGCAGGGATAGGGAGGAAACCGTGACAGAGGGAAAATGAATGAGAGTATAGATAATGAATGAAAGAGAGAAAAAAATTAGATCGAGTGAGGGAGGGAGGGTTGGATAATTACGGCTAGGAGGGAGGGGAATAACTTCCTCCGTACTGCCCTCCTTGTCTTGTGGTGCAGGGTTATTTTTAGCTACGAAGGAGAGCAACAAGGTGCTGTAAAGGCAATCATTTCTGCTGCAGCACAGCCATCGCTCACTGCAACATCTCTGTCACGGCAGACAACACACACACACACAAATGCATGTGTGTGGTTTTTAAAGGCCAGACTAAAGCTGTCAATAGCCAAAATATAGCCAACATTCCCCCTTAAAGGGCCACAGTCTCAAACATATCGACAACACAACACCTAGCTACCTATCTACATCTGCCCAAATCAGATTTGTCAGCAATTTTCCTCCCTTAATTTGCCACCTAAATAGCAACTTCTTTAATTGTTTTGGGCTAACGTGTATACTGCATTTCGCAAAGGTCAAGTTTCTCACTTGAAAGTGCTTCTCATTTTTCACACCGAAAACAAAAGCCCACTCTCAGATGCCAAACGTGTCAATACCAGCCGAAAGTGTGTCAGGTCAAGCCAATTGTGTTAGGGATTAGCTGAACGCACATACACAGAGTGTTTTCCCCACATCAATGACATTTACCGGGTCAAGGAGAAGAAATCCTATCCTAGCATCTGAATCAATAGCTCCTCTTAAAGGAATTAAAAACATACCGTATTTCATTACCCGATGCATCTAATAGCGTTTTCTGAGATCGATGTTTATATGCTTTTTGCTGTCCTATAGATTATCCCTCCACTTTCCATCTGTCTCCGCAGTACTACGTTTTGAGGTTAAAGTAATCAAATCTGAAATTTGATATCCGTGACCATTGGTGATCCTTTACTCATTAACATATGTTACGTTTAATAAGTGGTGAGAAAACCCCCACACCTATCAGTGCACTCAAAACACGTCTTCTTGGGATCTAACTAGGACTAATTACAGCTTTAAACGCCTTGTCTAGATCTTCACTGCCATACAGGGACTTATGCAATTCAGTGCTAATTAGGCAAGTATGTTAGAAACAAACTTATTGCAAATGTTGAGATGATTTATAGATATGAAATATGAATAATGCTAAATAGTAACGTGTGTCAGCAGTTAAAGATCTGCTTCTTAGTGTAGCATGACTCACAGCCCTGCAGTACCATGCAGAGAGAGACAAAGGGATTATGGCAGATTCCAAGAACAAAACAGTTATTTTACTTTAACAAAGAGGTTGCTGCTCTACCACGTCTTTTTAAATTCGTTTTTTTAATCAGGAAGTGAAGTCTGGAGTCTGGAAAATTGGAGGTCCCAAAGAAAACCCACGCAAGCACATAGAGAACATGCAAACTTCAAACAGGGCCAAACCAATCGCGCTGTTGCTGTGGAACGATTTTAACCACAGAGCCACTGTGCGCTTTGACCTGTTAGTTTGTTTTACTGTGTGAGTCTACAGTTAGTTTGGATCCAAGTTACGCTGAAACACCAAACACATTGCAACTTAAGGAAACACCAGGAAATAGAAAAATGCAGAAAAATCCAAAAGTACACAAAACGCAGCAGAAGTTGGATAAAAGACAACGGAAGAAGTCAAAAAAGAAAAGCAAACATGTTTTGTTTTTTGTGGGTTTTTCGTTTTTCTGTCATGTTTTATTCAACTTTTGTAATGTTTTGTCTGCGTTTGACCTCTCAGGGCCACCGTACCCAACTCACACAATAATACTAAATAAACTAACCACTGGCAGTGATAAGCCAGTAACTCCTTTGTCCATTAATGCAAAATTACTGTTGTTGTTCACAGAAATCTGGTAGCTTTACACAGAAAAATGTTAAATGTAGCAAACTTCAAAAATACATATAAGCTATTATTGACTCATTAGGTGGCTAAAATGCTTAGCATCTCTCCCAGTACTCCTACTGCTCCTCCATACTGGGGGCATGCTGACAAGATGTATTATAGGTAATACACTGACTGTGGAGAAATAGCTCATATAAATCAAACAAATAAAAAATTCAAATTGACCTTTTAATACAAAAAAATTGGATGAAATACTAAATAAGATTAGAGGATTATTGGTTGTCTACAAAGCTAGGTTAACTGTTTCATACCTGCTTTCTTAAAGCCAAGAGAAACACCTGCCTGATGTGTCATCGTATCTATCACAAGAGACTTGAATAGTATCAATCTCCTCTAACTTCAACCACAACAGGAAATGAGTGCAATCCTAAAATTACAAATTATTAATTTAAGTTGGAAATACGTATCTTACCTGTGATGAGTTCTCGTACTTCCATGTCGTTGGTCTTCCTCAGAAGGCGGATAAGGGCCGGAATGCCATCACAGTTCTTGATGGCCACCTTGTTGTCATTGTCCTTGCCATAGGAGATGTTGCGCAGGGCACCACAAGCCTTACGATGGACTTCAGATTTGGGGTGATCCAGAAGACCCACCAGAACTGGAATTCCCTTCAGCTGACGCACATCTTTCTTAATCTTGTCATTTTCGTAGCACAAGTGCTGCAGGTAGGCAGCGGCGTTGGACTTGACTGGGTCGATCGGGTGGCCTAGCATGGCAATGACCTCAGGGAGATCTGGGTCCCGCCAGCGTGGGTCCTTGCGGATGCTGTCGATGGAAGGTGAGCGACGACCACCCATGCGGTCCAGACTGGCCATGCTACCCCTCTCTGGCTGAGCCAGTGGTGCTGAATACATCCCATGGATGTAAGGGTGGCGCTCATCGATCAGCTCAGCCTCAATGGGGTCATCTGGGTACCCTCTGGATGAGGAGAGAAGAGAGGACAGTTAGGACGAGGAAGATGGACGAGGTAAATGGGGGGTGACTCAGACAGATTTGTCCAAGAGAAGAATTAGGCAGCCGGGGGGGGAAACACTCTGAGAGAAGCTAACTGAGGTGAAAGCTGCTGACTAATGAGGGGAAAAGAGAAAGCAAAGGACAAGGCAAGTAAGAGGTGAAAAGAAGTGAGAGACAGAGGAGGACAAGGACATGGTACTGGACAGAAACCAGATTTGCCAGAAGCATTGTGATGGTAGTTCTTTGCAATAAAATACATATAGTATGCAGCATTCTTATTATTCCTCCCTGCCAGGTGGCAGCAACAAAAAAGTCAGACTTCAAGAAACATAAAGTCTTAGAAGGAGTGACTGAGAGACAGGAAAAGACTGGTGAAAGAAAAGACGGGCACTTCACAAAGAAACAGAGACAAGGCAATACCAAAGAAAATCCTTTGAAGGATAGCCTTTTTAAGTTTTTCCTTTTCTTTTTTTTTCTAGAAGCCACCACATACGGCAGAGAAAGGATTTGATGTCTTTTCCCCCAGGGAACAGCGAGAGCTCGGCTGTCCCCTCAGGGAGGACTATGAGCTCCTATGATACCTCCAGGGCTCCCTTTGCTCACAGTGCCAACTCTAGCATACAGTTGCTGAAATGTTAATGACCATCACTCTGGGACGCTTCTACCAGCATTACCCTTATTAGCTCTACTGACATTATAGCTAAGGACCTAAACAGTCTTCAGCTTTGCTAATTTTTCTGCAATGGAACTGAGTGGCAGAGAAAGAAGGGAGCTCATGGGGTCCGCTGAGGGGGGAGGCTCCTTTAATGATCCCCTATTTCCAAAGCCTCTCAGAGCCTGCTCTTTGCAACTCTTTACTCCATAGACAGCCTCATCAAATTCCTGCTGGAACATGGATGAAAAAATAGGCGCTCAATTCCAGTGACAGATCATCGTTGCTAGAGTTCAGGTGACTTATTGTTTTTCTTTAATCACAGGAAAGGTTTTCTTTTTTTGTTGGGCTCAACTGCAGCAGCTCAGGTAAGCCAAATTTAACACTGGCAGAAAAGTTCAAAGGAACATTTTTGAAGCTTGTTTCACTGACATGTCTCCTTTGTCTATAAGGAGAATGTTTAGTAGGTAAAAATCTTAATATGGGAAGAGGAATATCATTACATGAGTGCACTTACGCACAGCCATTATCATACCTCGCCTACTCCACAGCTTGAAACTGCGTACCCTCATTACATAATACAGCTGCTCTCCGCTTGTGGTACTTGATATATGGTGGTTAGTGGTGTGACAAAATGGTGGTCAGTGGTAAGCTGACTGAGCTCTAGTTGTAATGTGTTTTTTATTAATTATGCTTCCCACGCATCGTCGCTTTGTTTTTATGAACAAATTTGATGAATGTTTAGTGCTTACTTCAAATGAAAATCCTCTACTTCTTCACCTTCTCTATTTTGTGGTGTGGTTTGGGTCGTAATGTCAAATGGTTGTAGTGATGTTGGCCCCGGTTTGAACACATTTCCTGTTCCCCTTGAAATTTAAGCCCAAGCCGTTTTCCAAAGAATCAGCCGCCGTAGTGAGTAGTTTACTACCTGGCAGGAGAAATCTCTGACATTTCAAAAAGCGATTTTCAATTGCTATCTGAGATCGCTTGTGAAAGAAAAATACAGACATGACATTTGCTCTTAGTCATTGCTTATAATGAGCTGACTAAATGTATCGGATGCAACAGGAGAAAAGTGACAACACAAAGCTGCGGGTCTTTTGGAAGTTCCCCACAAGCATCTTTCCCGTTCACGTCTCCTCTTATTAAGACGAAAGCTGTGAAGGTGTACGTCAGTTTTTTTGTTTCCTTTCCACTCTATGTTACAACCAGATTTTGGATGGTTTGCATAGTGTGGGTTGTTTGAAACAAGCACCTTTTGTAATGATAGCTGTGGAGTGCAACAAATTTAATCAGGTTTTCACAGATCTCAAGTGCATGAAGTGTGCAAAGGTACTGGAGACCTTCCTAGGGCAAAATATGTATAGAACAGGGTGTTTAAAGCATATTAAGGCCGACAAGTTGATATGGTCCTGCATACTTTTTACAGCAGCAGGCAATTTTCCATATCTGTGTGCTATCAAAAGCCCTCCACAAAATAACGAGAGCTGGAGGGCAAATAGCACAACGTTAAGTGCTTGCACACCTAAATCAGTCATCTCTCTGTTTCTAAGTTCAGCACGGTGGAACAAAAAGGACATTTTGTTATTACTGCTTTTAAAGTCATTACATAAAATATAATTTGTTAATTTGTGCTAAACTTTGAGCAGTCAGTTTATCTCAATGTTTTTTCCGTTCTTTGCCAGATAAGAGACTTGGATGCTTAGGGGCCGTTGTATAATCGATAGAAGCTGGTTAAAAGTTGGCTGCAGGACACGTGCCCTCCCTCGTTTGTTGCGTTGTTTTTCCCATAACTGACATTTTGGCTTTTATGGTACAACTTGGTGCGTCTTACTGCCAGAAAAATCGATACGAGATGTACTAAAAGAAAAACTCCTGCTTAACTATTGTAAAAAGATTCTAAATCTCCTATTCAGGTGTATGGAAGGAGGATTAATAGAGATGGAGTAAGACAACAAGGCTGTCAAGAACAGCCCTGCGGCTAAATGCTGCAAGTTAACTAAATTGAAAGAGCCATGGTGCTGAACGGCTGTAGCTTGAAGGGATATGTCAAGTCACAACAAACCTGAACTGCAAAGGGCATTTGGTGTATTCTCCGTGTTTACGATTCTTTTAAAAGTTTCTTTTTCCTCTCTAATCTTTATGGAACATTTTGGGGAGCCACAAATCTCAATAGCAGCCTGTAACCACAGTATGGAAGGAGGGGCCAATCACGAGCGCAGAAGCCTGATTACAGCACATCATTTGGACAACAATTGCTGCTCTGAGGTTTGGCAAAAAAACACTGAGCTTCTTGACACACTACAAGGAAAAGGAGGGAAGTTTTAAGCGCATGTGCACGTGCTGCTGGTTTACTAATTGCTTCCATGTGTACGCCACGATCCAAACACATACAACAACATTCAGAGATCTCTTTCGCTATAGAGTATTTGACTTGACAAGGCAAAGAAAGGCAGAAATTACCCCGCTCTAAAAGAAGGGAAGTTCACAATCTCAGCATCAACAACACTGCACATACCCGCCACACACACACACACACATGCAGACACATTATCTGCAGTGTTTCTCATGCACTTTCTTTAACGTGCACTTCAATACACAGATAAGATGTACAGTTGTGCAGATCGTGCCTCATTTAGATCTGGGCCAACGTGGCGGGGCCGGTGGTGAAGCAGACATCTTGAGGCTGAGTGATGGGAATGTCAGGATTTGCATTTAAATTGGCGCCATTGTGCGTGCAGGGTAGGGTGTATTCATAGGATGTGAAAGGGTTCTTTGCAGCCAGATATGATGATGCTCTTAGCATGATTACAGAAGATCACTCTCCTCATGTTAATCGAGCTGGTAAATGTCCAGCCTATTTGTGTCGTGTGCGACTGCGCGGGCGCGCTTGTTTTGTTTTATGACACAAAGAACAAAGAAGAAAAGATAAGCAGATACAGTAGATATGAGATGTGTGTGTGGCTGCAGAGTTTGGTATTCATCGATTTGTTTGAACTCTGTCACATCCTCACTATGCTCCCATTGCTTCATCGTTTGTCAATTACTTGCATCACATTTCAGTCACGGCCATGCATGAGCCTCGTCTTCTGCAGGCCCATAAAAAGAGGCGACTATGAAGGATTACAGGCTTAGAAGATGTTTGGATTTCATATGTACAAATACCATCCTGGCATTTATGAGGTTTTCAGTGACTGTCCCTGTTGACAGTTTGCTCATTTTGAATTAATATTGTTTTATCGTGCATAGAAGTCATTGTGGAAATGGGAAGTGAAAGGAACAGAGCTGGAGTCTTTCCATCCAGTCACTTTTTAATTACTCTGGTTTTCTGATAGCATTTTCTTTTACATAACTACTTGAGTTGTTTATTTTTTTTAAATAAAGTGACATTGTTTCATTGACAGAGTGGAAGTATAACTACCCTGCTTCCACAGATGGGAATAATACAGAATGCAGCAACTTCAAAAAAGTAGTAAAAAAGTGCACAAAAACAAATCAAAACTGGAAACTGACCAACTGTATTTTTAAAAAAAATGCTCACTTTGAATTTGAGGCCAGCAACACACGTCAAAGACACTGGAACAAGATAAAGTAAGTAATGCTAAACAGGAATCTCAGATATCTTGTAACTAGTTGTTTAGCAACAGGTCATCAGAATGATACAAAGAGCAATTACAAAGCAGGAGCAGAAATCACTTCTTGTGCTCAGGAAAACAATGATCAGCAAAGATAGTCCAGGGCAACCTCACAAATGCAAAATCCAGAAGCATCACCATCTGCTATGGGCCAAAGATCTTTTGCATGGAGCAGCAGTGCACGAGTGTCCTGTACAAATGCACTCATGCACTTAACAATATGAACCGATTTCATGGCAGGTCTGGCTTGTTTTAGCACTCTGGATGCTAAAATAGCATCCTGCAGTTCAAACCTGTCACCCTGTAAAAACACTAGAGACGCTGATGAGCAGGTGAAATCCTGCATCAGGCAAGAATAAGAAACAATTTGCTTTCAAAACTGCAACAACTGTTCTCCTTATTTTAAGTGTTATTGAGGTGATGCAACACAGCTGTAACTTTTTCAAAAGGAGCACAGAAAAACTGAAAAACTACTCTTGCTCTGGTTGGATTTGAATGCCTCTTGACAAGATGGGACAAGGGAGAAAATGCCTGAGTTGGCTAGTGTCACTACAGACAAAAGAGGATAGAAATGACCCCCTCCATCCACCGTCCCACCCCACACTATGCAATTAAGCGGTCACTAAATGTGTCTGCATGTATTTACATGTCTGTGTGGGGGGAGTGACCCCCAACGCTGACTGTCCAAGGAGAGATGAGCCATTAAAGGCTGGTTTAAAAAAGCTTCAGTAGTCTGGCACGGTTCAAAAGCAGCTATTAATCAACCTGGCCCTGAGGACACCCACACCTGAAAGGTGCTCGTGGACACACGCAGTGTGTCACACACACATTAAGGATGTGCTAGGCATTCACATTCAGACAGTGTGGGGGATGGGGAGAGGAAGGAAGAGCAACATGTATCTGCAAAGCCTGAGCAGGAGTAAGAAAGAGATGCCAGGTAGGTAGGTAGGTAGGTAGGTAAGTAGGTAGGTAGGTAGGTAGGTAGGTAGGTAGATGCAGAAAGATATGGCAAAGTATAAAGTGCCCAGACAATTAGATGCACCAACAAAATATCAGATAAAGCTCCATCAGGCTTGTCTAATTCTACACATCACACACTATACGGAAGCTACAATTAGCACCTGCTGCTTGGAGTTTTCATTCATGAACATAAACTGTAAAAAAATGATCCCTCCTTTCAATGGTTGGCTCACAGATACAAAGCAGAGATTCTAAGTTAAGTTCTTTTACAGGACATAAGGTATCTCATGTCTGATGTTCACTAAGATTACTGAAAAAATGTTTGACTGTGTTAACAGATGACAAAGGGAGAAGCTGAAGGTTGAAGAAGAGAAACAGCAAATGCAGATGTTGCCATGTAAAGAAATTCACGATGTGATCCATCTGTTAACATCCTGTCATGTTATGGTTCACCTTTCTGGCTCAATGACCGTATGCAAGTCTCTGCATTTTTGTATGTATGTGTACTTGATAGCTATGGTAATACAAGACTTTCAAATGAGGCACATCCAGAGAAGCCCAAAAAGACATCATCATTTCTGTCCATGAGCAAACACTCATCCACGGAGGTGACAAAATGAGTGCTGGACTCCAATGCATAAAGAGGTTTTATTACAAAACATCTTCATTTCTGAGCATAATTGAGGGCTTGCAACGTAATGATAAGCTGTTATTAAAGTCCTTAAATTCCCAGATTTATTACAGCACGCTGGGTTAGCCAGTGCTTTCTTGGAAGAATATTAATTGTGCTTCGAGTGCTCAGGAGAGACTGGGCACTCGGGAGTGAGCTCACTGTCACTGTTACTGTTACTGGAAGGGAAAAGGCTGTTTGGATGCTGTTGTTTTGACACGAGTGCAGGAAAAACTAAGCAAAGAAGAAAGAAAGATCGTCTTTCTTTGGACAGCAGTCATCCAAGAGCTGCTACAAATCTGTGTTTGTGTGTGTGTGTGTGCGCAAGTTTGTGTGGGCAATCACATGAGCAGCTGTCAGTGTGCATGTCTGAGGGGTGTATGTGGCTGTTAGGCCTGTGTTGTGACACATGTAAGGCAGGCTACAAATTGCCTGTCAAAGAAAGCGCCTCTCACAAAGCGG